CACCTTAAAACTAACCCTTAATATCACATCGTAAACGGAAGTCATTAAAGGATACCCTAATAACAGCTAAGCTGTCAGGTTCGAAGATTTAAAAGCGCAAGCGAATAGCAGAAGTCGCTCAAGCAATCAACACCGTTTAACGATCGACCTTTTGCTTTCCGGCTTACCCGGTGTGTCGCTGTGCGCATTGTACAGTTATTTATTGGTCAAGTGATTCCATTCATGGCTCAAATTCAACTGTCCTTCATTCAATGATCAAGATAGTAGATTTACCATACAACACTCGCGATAAGTTAATTTCCTTTTACTTAGGAAAGTAGATTTACAACACAATTGAGAATATAATAGTAACGCTGTGTAACGCAACAATAAGCCTTTTCTCGGCCATAATCGGTCTCGAACAACCGCACTTAAAATGCGAGAAACACATGTACCGTTGGAGAGCGTTTGAGAGCGTTTTGTTCAGTCAAAATCTGCCGAATTCTGCTGCTTTCACTGCCATATTGAAAATGAAGCTACCACGATGCAACGCAATCGGAGTGCGCACACCGCTTGGTTGTTTAGTCAGGAAAAATATCGAAAGCAGAAGTAAAGCTGGTTCCCAGTTTCCCCTACGCCCACTCGATTTTCTTTTTCCGAGTTCCCTGGAAGACTTTGGGAGACCTAGGGAAAGGGCTGAGGGTAGAATATTGATTTGTGAACGGTAATCTTCCTTCCCCGGAATTTCGCGTAAATTTCGCTTCAACTTGCATCGCAAATCCATATAAAAACAGAGCTGCGAACAATAGAAGAGTGCTTAAGGATAGCAAATCCAGTAAAATAATGATTAGAAATGAGCAAATGTGAGATTTGTACAAAAGATTCAATCAAATTCATACATTATAACGCCATGTGATTTCCGTCTCTTTAGTTTTGCGTGACGTTATAGTTACTTGATTTTATTCAAAAGCTTTTGAAAAGCGATGTTAACTTCTAGATGTAAATTCTATCGTAGGCTATTCTATCGTATCCAAATTCAACAACATAAATGTCTCCATTTACCACAGCCACCTTGGGAGAATCTTAGCGAAAGTTTATTCCTGACCGGTGATTAAAAAAACTCTTAAATCTCAATATCTTGATTAGATGTAAAAGAGAACAACTGATCACGGCATTTTACCATTACTGTGTCATTGGCCACTTATTTCAAACCGTCAGGTAAATTCCTCCATATAGTCTTCCTCAAGGAGACAGCAAGGGTGGGTACTTCCCACCACGAGCAACAATAACACGTGTATCATGTCCTTTTCTACGTGACTGCGGTAGATCATCTTCATTGACAAAAGTAGCCATCTTTACAATAGTATCTTCAATTAGCCTCTAACAAACAGTACTGTCCGTTTGTCACGACATCCTTCAAACAGTCACGTGACCAAACAATTTGGCAAATCCTGCTTTTCGCTCACTCTTTCCGTGATTGACCCAGTTTAATATGCTTTTAAATAGATCAGCTTCCTTTTTTAATGTTTTTTCCGGAAACAAAGAAAGAAAAACGGTCACATAATTTATCATGAAGGAGCGTATCCTTTTTTATCCAAATAAAATGAAAACAAAATATTTTAGAGGGTGAACTCGTCAGGTGCTACAAAATTCACACTGTAATCTTTAAACTTTAACACCTATGGATAACTCAAGTGTGGGGTCATATTATGGAAGTTAGTCTGAAAGCAGTCAAAAGGAATTTTTTTGGTAAAGTGCATTTATTTAACCTAAATACTAAAATGTTTTACTATTAGGGATGCCCTCAAAATTTGAGAAATAGGTGACTTTTTGACTTAAATGACCTGTACTGCGACATTTCCTTGACTTTACTCAGTTATTGCTACAAAAAGCGTGGAGAGCGACTATCGGCCTCTGAAGTAAAATGTGTCTGAACAATTAACTGGAGGACATCAACAAACTTCTGATCCAGTCTCTTGGAAAATAACCTCTAACCTCTCACCCTCATATTTATTCTAAATCGAAAGTAACGTCGTGTCTTTTGGTTTTGCTTTTTTTGATCTTTCTTAATGGTATCAAAAACCATATACTGTGTCCTTTAGTGAATCAGAGTATAGATTCGGGTCACTCTAAGCAATCAGGAGCAACCAACGAGGTTCTCCGTCCTGAGTTTTCCCGCGCTTGACGGTGCAAGTGGATTTTTTTCTCGCGCTTGGCAACGCGGCTGGAATGTTTTCCCGTGCGAGATGCACTTAACCCGTTTGGTCTGGACGGTGGTTTGTTTAGCCTGACAACGAATCATGGATTCCTTTCTTCTTATTTACAGGCAAATGTTAGTTTGTTTATTCCCTTATTCAACTACCCGCGAAAAAATTACATTACAATTTAGGAAGGAATGATCTAATCCGTAGCTGGTTTTGATCGAATGAGTTCTTATATTGCAATCTGTGCATACAATTTTTGATTGAAAAAAAACTAGCAGACCCATTCTCCTTCGCATCTGGTTCTCAGGATGTCACTCAAAGCAACTTAAATCAAACCAAATGATTACTAAACTAATTGAGGCAAGTCAGAGAGGATAATTTTTGTTAGCATTTTTTGTCAAAGGTCGGATGGGTCCGCATAAGGGGATGTGGTGACAATAAGTAAGAGCTTCGACAACTGCTCGACGCCCTACCCTTGAAAGTAACACCCTTTGTTTTCATTGTGGAACAGCTTACTCACTAATTACTGTCTTATAACACAAAAATCATCTAAGGCTTATTAATTAATCGTAAAAAATTATCATTCCTCTTGCATTTGCTCGTTATAAAACGAAAATACGCGTCGTCCTTCAAATGAATGTGTCTTGTCTATACAATATAAATAATTTACAGAAAACTGATTGTTTTTTTAAAGAAATCTCTTGAGTTAATGAGGACTTAAAGATCGAAAATTACATCGCCGAGTCTCCAAACTATAAAAAGTATAAAAGGTCATTGGAATCTGAAGTTTCATGGTGATATGGAACAATCAAGAAGAAAATTATAACTATGAGCAACAATGAAATTGAACTTGTAGCGGCTTTCTGCATTGCGCATCCTCCTTTACATTTATTGAAGAATCTTGTTATTAGTAAATCTGTGTGCTACTTATACAAGACTATATTTTTTTAACATGCAAGATTATGTTTTACTGTCGAACAACTGTAGTGAAATCACACACGGGATATCACGTGACCATGACGTGTAAGATGTCTTATTGTTTTGTCCCTTGTCCACTGACTACGAAACAGTTTGAACATTTCTTAAGTTTGAACACTCGCAAGAAAAACTTTTAACTGTCTCCTTGAAGCAAATTAAAGGGGATTGTATCGAAGCTTAGTCAGTCAGTCATCATCATCAGACAACTCAAATACAGGAACAGGAGCCGCGGCATGCTGGTTTGACTGAATGCTGCCAAAGTTGAAGGCGCTAGTGCCCGTGGGGGCGCTAAGGCCCAAGGGGGTGGCAAAGCTGAAGCCAGTGGTAGGGGCTGAGGGGAAATTTTTCAAGGTGCCGTGGCGAGATGACGTGGTGCCCGGCTCGCCAAATAAAGAGCCGATGGGCTTTTCCTTGATAGAGTCAGATTTTGCAAGTACTCCTTTAGAGAGCTTCATTACACATCCAGTGAATGTGTCCTTATTTTCAGTTGAGTACCTTTCGACTGGTATGGATATCTTCTCAATCCACTTGTCTTCTGTAGAGTCGTAACATTCAACTGATAGTAATCTATCCCTATTATTCTTGGTGCCACCCAGTACATAGCATGTTCCACTCAGACATACCATGCTGCCATACACACGCCAAGTGTTTAAGCTTCCAATGAAGTGCCATTCGTTGGTAGAGACATTGTACATCTCGCATTTTTTTGTCACCTTGTTCTTTTCGTTTAAGCCTCCAGCGACAAAAATCTTTCCTTCACTTGCCACTCCAAAGGCACCACCTCTTCCTTGTTGCATATCAGCGATTTCCTCCCAATGGGTTTCCGCAATGTTGAATCTCTCAGCTTTAGAGACATAACTAGCATTGCCAGGGACCGATCCACCTAAAAGATACAGATAACTGCCACCTGCAATAACGCAGCAACTGTTCCTGCAGCCTTGGGGAGATTCCACAACTGTTTGCCATGTACAAAGCTCCACATTGTATCTC